TATGGATTTTATCAAAGATGTTCCAATCTCAAGTTTGTATGATTTTATATTTGTGATAATAGATCATTTTATCAAGATGGTATATTTTGTACCATATACAAAATCTATCACAAATAAAAAAATAGCTAAATTTTTTTTAACAATATTTATTGCTATTAAAGATTATCTAAGGATATAATATGAGATGAAAAGACTCAATTTATATCAAGATTTTAAAAGTGGATATGAAATTCTCTTTGGCTTTTCATCTTCAAATTAACAAGCAAATAAAATAAGTGAATTAAATTTTAGAGCAGTATTTGAGGTGTACTATCAATTATCATCAATATGATTAGATAATTTTTTTGCCATTGACAAAGTTTGCATACAATAATTTAATACACTCTTCCATTCAATAAATACATTTCTTTACCAATTATGGTTATTATCCATGACTTGATACTTTTGACTTTTCAAAAGTTGATAATCATGTGGCAAAAGATTTGATAAATTGTTTATCAGAGTTACATGCAATAATAAAGGCGCAGTTAAAGGAAGCTCAAGAATGACAAAAGATCAATGCAGATGCCTATTGCAAAGAAAAATCACAATTCAATGTGGATAACAAGGTATGGGTACTTTATCAAAATATTAAGACTACTTGCTCTTGTAACAAGTTAGACTATTATAGTCTTAGATTTTTTTTTTTTTTTTTATCAATGAATAAGTCAATCCTATTTCTTTTTGATTATATCTACTAAAATCTATGAAGATTCATCACATATTCCATATGTCTCTTCTTGAGCTATATAAGACAATGAATATCTTGGAAAGAAAACAAATGCCACTTCCTCTTATAAAAATATATAATAATCAAGAGTTTGAAGTAGAAGAAGTCTTAGATTCAAGTCGGTGCCAAAATAAGTTAAAATATCTTGTTCATAGGTGCATATATGATAATAGTAAACGTATATGGGAGCCAACAAAAAATCTTACAAATGCAGCCAAGAAAATTGAAGCTTTTCATTGATGACATCCATCAAAATTAACATAAAGAATAGCAAATATTTACTATAAAAGAAATAAGATTCAAAGAAAATGATCTCAAAATCAAATCTTAATTAAGACATATTCTAATAGACTTGGCAATAATTCAAAATAAATGTAAATATGAAGTACTTGAGATTCTTGTGATCCATTTATATATTAATTAGTGTAAAAGTGTCTTTTAGATAATAATGCCATTCTTGAAATAAATCTATAATTGTAAACAATTCTTTATTATGGATCTCATAGTTAATTTTGGCTATTGAAAATTTCTTGGAATGAAAAGCTACGAGATAGAGCTTATCATATGCTTCCATTTGTGATAAAATAGTATCTATAGCAAAGTTTGATGTATCTATTTCTATAAAAAATACCTTAGAAAAATTGACACGATATAGAATTGATGTAAAAAGAAATATTAACTTAAAGGCTTCAAAAGATATTTTAGCTTTTCTATTCCATTTAAATTTGTCTTTACATGTCAAATGTGTAAGAGAAGTCCTATATTGAAAAAAAAATTTAATAAAGATTTGATAGTAATTAATAAATCTTAATAAACATTGCATATCTCTGACTATTTTTGAGACTTTCCAATCCATGATGGTCTAAACCTTCTTAGAAATAATCATTAATCTTTTGTTGGAAATGATGTATTCTAAAAAATCAACTTTAGTAGTATTGAATATACACTTTTATATCTTTGCATATAATCCTATATCTCTAACTTTTTGTTACATGTGACAAATATAAAATTCATATTCTTTTGTATTCTTAGAAAAGATTAGAATATTATTTAAATAAAAAATAATAAAATCATCAAGAAATATCATTAATGACATGTTGAAAAGTAGGTGGTCCATGCATGAGTCTAAAAGGTATGACATTATATTTGAAATTTCCATACCTAATTCAAAAAGTAGTCTTCCATTCATCTTTTTCTTTGATGTAGACCATGTTGTGTGCTTCTCATAGATCTATTTTTTTATAAATCTTAGCTTCATTGAGTTAGTCAAGAATTCTTGAAATCAAAGATAGAAGTTACCTATTCTTGATGGTAATCTTATTAAAACCTTGATAGTCTACGTACATTCATAGAGATCCATCTTTTTTTTTTTTGCAAATAAAATAGGAGCTCTTATTAGAGATTTTGAATGATATATAAAGTTTTTAGCCAAGTTCTTGTCAATGTATTTTTTAGTATAGCTAATTCATTTTGTGATAAGCTGTAGATTGATTTGAATGATGGTTGAGCTCTTTCTTGTAGATCAATTGAACAATCATATGATTGATGCTTTGAAAAAATATTTACATTCTTTTTTTCAAAAACATCATAGAAATCTTGACATTAGCTACAAATATCACTAAACATTTTTTTTCTATCAAAAATAGATGAAGCATATGTAACAAAAGATGATCCTTCTTTTGCCGCATGCATAAAAGCTCTTACACAAATCAGTAAGGATTTGGATGTTTTAGGCTTATCTATTTCTATTTCATTATAAAATTTTTGGATTAAAATATAAGAAAGATAAAGGTTATGAAAATTCCAATCTATTTGAGGATTATATTTCTTAACCATAACAATCCTAAAATAATTAGATTAAAAGGAGAACTTATTACATTAAATATTACTATACTATTATGAACTTTAATTACAACATTTAAAGGAACAATCTCATGAAAAATGTCTCTAGAAGATAACAAATAACCATCTATGACTTCTATATGTATAAGTTTAGTTTTCTTTACTAAAGGTATTTCTTGTTTCTTAAGAAAGTTTTTGTCTATAAAAGAAGTTGAGGCTATTGAATCTAATAATGCAAAGACTTTGTGATTTTTAGGTCTTAAATACACATCTATTGTAAAATAAGGTGAGTGATTTGAAGAGAAAATTGGACCATTACTAGATGTTGTATATGATTCTATTGCACAATCCCTATTGTAGCTGGAGAAACTTATTTTCTCACATATTATCTTTTTTGGCAACCATAGTCATTATTTTGTAATTACATTATTTTTTTATACAATATTGAGGGGTGTGCTTAGCTTTTTTATAATATAAGCACAAATCCTCTTGACAATGTCAAGTCTTTTCTTGTTCAGTGATGGATTTAAAATATACCACATCAATTTGTATTGATTCTGTCTTTGATAAATAAAATTTTGAAAACTTAGGAGTTGTTGTCATTACTCAGCTTGTTCCTCTCCAACCAAGTCTTTGTTCTTGATGCCTTTCAAATAATCAATTTTTGTATGCAATGGCTTGAGCAATAAATTATTCCCAAGATTTTACTTTTGGCATTCTCAATAATTTAATGTTATCTTAAACCTATATCAAAATTGATTGATAAGAACTTTGTCATTCCAATCTACATTGCAAGTAAGGTTTTGGAATTTAATAGCATATATGGTAGTTGATCGTAATCCTTGTTGTAAAGATAAGAGTTTGGTCTCTATTATTCTTTCTCAATCACTTTATTTGAATGTAATTATAAACACTTCTAAGAATGAATTCAAATCATAAAAGAATTATGAATCTTTTTCTATTAACAATGTAAACCAAGAGAGAAGACTTCTAAATAGAACTATGCTTATGAATCCAACTTGAGTAAATCCATCAAAGTATTGGAAAGGATGCAACCTTACATAGAGCTTGACTTGTTACAAAAATCTTTGAAATTTTGAGTTCGTTCCATCAAACTTATTGGACATACTAATTTGTATCTCCATCATACTTGTAAAAATAAAATTTTATGGATTTGGTTGTGAGATCGATCTACTTGCTTCTTTCAACTGCACCATTTCTTAATGTAAATTCTAAACTTCTTCCATAAGCATAGGATTAGTGTTTCTACATTTGGTGCTGGTGATGCATAAAATTTCCTTTCTAAAAGTATCAACAAGTTTGTGAAGATCTGTAATAGTTGTAAATCTATTTTCACTTCTACGAAGCATAGCATCTATAATTTTTTCTTCTATTTCAAACTACTTAACAAATTTAAAAGTCAAATTAGAAGAGAGTAATCTGTAACTTCTAATATTGAAAAAAAAATTCCACAAAGAAAAATAATCTACTCTCTTTAAGGAAGATATCAATGTTAAAAAACTAAACTTTTTGTTTAAAGGTACGTAATCCGCAACCTTCAAAATACAATAATAGAAGTGGAATAATGCAGTCATTTTTAAAATAAGACAGAAACAATAAGTTAGCACTCTTATCAAACTATCAAGGATATGAATTTAAAAAAAAAAATCTTTAATACATTCTTATGTCATTCAAAAAGATTAAAAAATTATCCAAAAATGGTAATATATTGAACTAGAATGGCTATTGCCAAAGACAAGAAGACTTGAAAGACTTGAAACAAGACTAAGGACTAAAAAGGCGTTGATAAGAATCAAGAAGGCTTCATTCTTGCCTCTATATATACTCTTAAGTAAGAGCTACATAATGATGTCCTATAGAACTTCCAAAACATGTTGACTTTGGAAGACATACATCTTTATTTGCATGGCAAGTTTCTTATATGTTCACTACATAGTTAGCTTGTTCCGTAAGCTATCAACATATGGTTAATTATTAATCAAGTTTTTAATCTATCAATCAAGTATAAACACATGTAAAGTCAAAGCAACATCTATAAAGCTTTTATGTTATTTTTTTAGAAAATATTATGAAATAAATCTACTTTTATCTAATTTTATTTAATCATATAGATAAATATTAGAGTAAATATATATCTCAATGACATGCAGACTCTTTCATCTTAGAAATGCAAATAAATGCATGGATTCTCAAATCTTTGTAGATGGTTTGTTATTGAAAACCTAGCTGTCAACTTGTCTTTTTTATAATGTTCCACATTATTAGAGGAAACTCTCTATTTAGTTTAGGGTTTTCCATTTCTTTTTGAATAAATAGGAAAGGTTTCTTGTGGTTAATGTACTTCGGTTGCTTCCAAACACTAAGCATTTTACCATATGTAATCTTCTAAAATCTGGGAGTGTATTTGACATCTATGATCTATGTAAAGAGTTTTCTCTAATAATGTGGAATATTGAAATGGTGTACAATGCACTAAACCCCCTGCCACTGGCTTACCAAGGACAGCACAAGGCTGACGGAGGGGCATCGCATTCCCAAACACAGGAACTGTCTGATCTGGAGGCCTCAATTCCCAAAAACCTGTCACCAATTCATACATGATCGAGAATCCAAGCCCTCTGTATGTAAGCATCATGGAGTTGTCAAACCCATACGCGTGGTTGAAATCGAATGATCTCCTGTTAGCCTCCAATTCTTGCGCGTCGAACACAGGATTCGACAAAAGGGACACTGTTTCTAAGGATCCATCTGCAAGCTCAATTTCCGTCACGCTTAATGGTTCCTTCATTCTGAGACAACCCTGGCTCGCCTCAGGAAATAACGTATCCCCGCTCATGAGAAACAAACGAGCCCCGCTCACAACAAGATCTTTTTTAACATTCCCCGAGCACTTGGGGAAATCCACATGAGTGTCCGCCCATGAATCCTCCAAGAAGTTGTAACTGAAGAGCCAATATTTGATCGGCGAGTGCTCCTGGAGGCTTAAATTGTCATCAATATGCACGGTCGTCGTCGAAATGTACAAGAGTCCTTGAAATACGACACTGTGTGCTTGAACCCCAACCCCAGCCTTGAGGCGCACATTTGTTCTCGTAAGGGGCATGGCACTCGAGTTTCGCCATTGATTTGTGGCGGACTCAAACATACACACTTCAGGTTTCTCACGCCTGTGGATGAGGAAAACCTTGAAGGTGCAAGAGACGCTGTCAACAATGAGTTTCGCTATAATACTGTTGTTGAAATCACTGCAAGGTGGATCTGGCAGTACCTGTGAGGACCTAGAAATAGGGTTGAAAATTGTCATTTCGACATAGTTAGACCATAGAACAAAGCCTCCATCCGTTGCCAGGGGATGTTTGTGCTGTTCGTCCTTCCATGTGTACCACCGCCTATCATTTAGGTCGAGTATACTCCACCCAACGATTTCTCTGGAAACCAAACTGTCACGAATCTTTCTGAGGAAACACTGCCCCATGATGGAACGATGATCTTTGTTTCCGTTCTCAGCGCAAAGGTCTCCAAACTCTGGCGTGCAGAGAGTGGAGTTCCATCTCGGGCATACAGTGCGAAACCTGCAAAATTCGGGCACGGAAACATGGGAAAGCAGTAGGTCCACCAGCGCGGTCGGGAGCTGACTCCACACATCCGCCATCACCTGCTCGTCCATCGACATGACCTATTCTCACATGAAAGCTCAACAGAAGGAACTCCGATGCCCAACAATTATTCTACGATGAAGCGATGAAAAAGATGCCGCTACTCCACAGCCTCCACACTCACCTGCAGAGGAAGAATTCACGAATACAAATGGGCTCTACAGTTGAAGAAACAGCGATTACAGGTGATCGACACTGAACCTAAATTTCTCGAGTTAGCACAACCTAGTGCTGAATGCTAGAACAGAAACCCTGATGTAACCGCAAGTGCTGACATGGAAGCCTTCAAAGTGGCCCTCGATTAGTGCAACAGAAACACTGCAGTCAGGTCTTGACAAACGTTAGATCATCCGAAATATGTGGAAGAGAGTTGGATATTGTATGAATTCAGCTTGATTACCTTCCAAGCATCCGCTCTGAGAAGATCCCACGCCGACTCGTCAACAGCCACGGTGGGCCAACCCAATGTATGCTTCGCCCCTGGCGGTTTGTACATCCTATTGAGCCACATTTCCTTTTCTGCAATCCTTGACGTAAGGGAGAAACACTCTTGTCTCCAACTGGAAACTGCCTATTCATCTATACTTGTGAGTCCCTCGTGATGACGATCTATCAGGCCTTGTTTGATGAGCTGAAGGAATCCTTGTCTATTAGACAGAACTTCTGTCATGTCAAGTAAAAGACCAGATTGTTGCAGCATTGTCCCACCGCTCGGTTCCGTTCTTTAAAAGATCCATGTCACGAGAGTTCAATTTCGCACGTTCAATGAGATGCTCAAATGCCATCCGCAATGAGTCTTCACATGAGATACCTGAATACACACATTCACTGAAATTGTGAATGAATGCAAAGCAAACTTGGAAATACGAGCAAAGTTTAATTTTTCTAATCTGCAAGCATATTAGAGTACTTGTCGCAAGGGAGGAATATGCTGTGATGTGTCGGATATCTTATAGTTTATGAAAGACGTACGACAACCTTGAATCAGAAAGCTTCAAAAAATGACAAAAATTGAATGTCACAATTGCAACATCTACTTAGTTTTGGTACCTCTCAATTGGTAGATCAACCAAGAGGCATAGGATTCCTCTTCGGTGTGGTTCTCCTTGGCCTTCATCAGCTCTATACTTTTCTTCAACGGATGAACCTCATCGGCTTACCTTCGAGTAACAATTGTCGGACATGGTCAAACAACGGAATTGCACACAAATTAGCTTCACATTAGCATTCAAGAGTCATTGACCATGAATTTCAAGCTCGTAAGTTCAATGTGCTAACTAATTGGATACGAATGTTGTTATCCGGCAATATATAGAATGTTTTCAACAAAAATACTTGATGTATTAAGAACGGAAGGAAATTCAAGAGAATTTTGTGGATGTAGGGCCAAATTTCTTTCAATATTTGTGAAAGATTGTATGAAGTTTCCAAATTTGAATGAAAGTCTAAAAATAGAAATTTAAAGCATTTGCTCTTAGATGCAAACAATGATTGTCATGTCCAAAAGAAAGGTGATCGTGCAAATGTTTTAAATTGCTAAATTGCTAAATGTTTTAAACTGCTAAATTGCTAGTGGAGGACCATGTAATTTTTTTAAGAAAAAAAAAAAAAAAAAAAAAAAAAAACCATGATTGGAGGCCAATACTCCGACATGGTAAGGAAATAGTAAGGAAATAGTGATCATTCACCTTTGAAATTGAATGAGTTTCTTTCCACTTTTCCATAGCTCAATAGTTGCAACTTGTCTATTGAGAATGTTTAGAAAGACACAAGAGTAGTACTAAGTAATACACACACACAAGAGTAGTAGTAAGTAATACACACACACAAGAGTAGTAGTAAGTCATACACACAAGAAGGTTTTAAAAGAGAGAGAGCTTCACACATAAAAATCTATTGATCCAGTTGTGTCTTGTATAGAAGAAGAGAAAGGGGAGAGGATAAACAGTTCTTCTCCACTAGACTCTAAATATTGTAGCTATGGTATTTACTATAGTCTATAGTAAATATTATGGAGAGCTCGAGCTATATTTAATGTTCTCAATACTCTTCCTCGCTCATCATAATATTTACATAATATAAAATTTGTATAGAATTATGATCTATACTTTTCTGTGATCTTGCAAGTTCAATAATTGTTGCCTCATTAAAACCTTATCTAGGAAAACCTTATTGTATTTAAGGACAAAACCATAGATGAAAGAAGAAGAGTACAACATCATTTTCTTTAATTATTTAAAGAGCTCATTAACTTTCTTATTCAAGAAAAGCAAGTCGCCACATAGCAATGCCATAAGTAAGTCGACAATGGTTGCACAATAGGAGAGCTTTGGTAAAGAGATCAACAAGGTTATTTGCAGATTCAATTTTCTTAATTATAAGTGCTTGATCAGTAATCAAGTCATGGATATAATTAAAATACTTTGGATCAATATGCTTTGTCATGTTGCCTTTAATGAAACCAACTTGCATCTGTGCAATACAAGCACTATTATCTTCATGCAAGATAGTTGGAGAATCATCATATGAAAATCCATAGGTTGTTTGAATGAATTTATCAATTGATCGCAACCAAATATATTCTCGAGATGCTTCATGTAAGGCAATAATTTCTGCATGGTTGGATGAAGTTATAATTATTGTTTGTTTCATTGATTTCCATGATATTGTAGCTCCATGTCTTAAAAATACATATCCTGTTTGAGATTTAGCTATTGCAGTATCAGATTTATATCCTCCATCACAATATTTAACCAATTTTGAATCTATAGATTGTGTGTAGTATAATCCCAAGTCTTCAATACTTTTTAAATAACATAATAAATATTTGATGCCATTCTAATATCATAGTGTTGGACGTGCACTTTATCTTACAAGAATACTAACTGCAAATGCAATATCTGGTCTTGTAGATATAGCTAAATATAAAAGTGCTCCAACCGCTACAAAGTATGGATATTGATCTCCCAATATTTCTTCCTCCTCTTTGCATGGATAGTATGGATCATGACCATCACGACCACGTTCAACCATTGGCGTGGACAATAGATAAGCATCAATCATATTAAATCTTCGCAAGATTTGTCTAATATACGTTAGTTGGTAGAAAAAAATGCTACCATTTGTTAGATGCATAATCTGAAGATCAATGCAGAAAGTTGTTATTCCTAGCAATTTCATCTCAAATTCATATATAAATAGGTTAGTAGCTATAATACATGTAGATGTAGTGCCCACTAGGTAAAGATCATCAACATATACAGCGATGATCACAAAACTAGTTTTATCTCGTTTGATAAATAAACAAGGGATTAGTGGATCACTTACAAACTTATTTGTAATTAAATAATCTCAAAGACATTGATCCCACATGCATCCAAATTAATTTAAACCATACAAGGCCTTACATAATTTAATACAATGATATTATCTTGGAGCGGGTCCATTTGGAATTCCTATTTTTAAGCTAGGTGGAACTTTCATATAAATATTTGTATTAAGAGAACCATATAGATATACAATTACTATATCCATCAGATGCATCTCAAGGGTGGCATGAACTGTCATTCCAATAATATATCAAAATATAATTGAATCCATGATTAGAAAATATGTAGATTCATGATCAATGCCAAATCGTTGAGTAAATCCTTGAGCAATAAGACGAGCTTTATAGCAGGTTATTTGACCTTGAGCATCTCGCTTGCACATTAATACCATCTTATATTCCACAGGGCGAGATGTAAGAGTATCTACAATTCGACCAAAGACTTTCCTCTTATGCAAAGAAGCATATTTCTCCTCAATAGCAGTTTTTCATTTTGACCAATCAAAGTGATGCATCGCCTCCTCGATGGTTTGAGGTTTAGGATCGTCTTCTTCGCAAGAAAGGGCTTTTATAATCATACATGAAAATGATTCTTTTACCGTAATAGATGATCTGTCCCAAATATCATCTATAGCACAATACAAAATAGATAATTCTTTACTTAACTTCTTCTTATTCCTTCCAATTCCAAGATTGTTTTTCATAGGAATTAAAGGTACATTATGTATGGATATATCATCATGGATTGGTAGTCCTGTAGGATGAGTGGCAATTTCTTGAAAAATAATATGAGGATTAATCAATATTATAGCTTTCTTTTTACGTGGTTGCTTATCTAGTCCACGAGTTCTTTTAATTGTTGTTATTATAACTTGAGGTATTGTAGTCAATGGCACTGCAATCTGAGCAGGTGCATTCTGAGCCTCATTAATAGGAACTCTTGTAATTCTACGTGCATCATTGAAGCCATCAGATGTTTCATCTGCGATCCATTTTAGATGCAAAATCTTAGCAACTTTAGTTTCTGCCAAAGATGTCCTAGGATCGGGATTCATTGTAAACGTTTCTGGTGCTTCAAATACAAATACTTTATTTTTTTGTTGATTGGATACTCTCCCTTGAAGAAATAGAAATATGTTTTCTTCAAAACGGTAATTTTGTAAATGTGCACATAATAATGTGCCAGTTAATGGATCAACAATACGAAGAATGCTTAATGAATGAAAACCAACATATATGCCTTCTTATCGATGAGCTCCAATGGTATGCCATTGAGGTTCTGGTACTGAAATCCAAGCACAACAACCAAATACTCGTAAGTGAGATACATTTGGAATACGACCCAAAATGAGCTCATGTGGTGAAACAATTTAAAGAGAAGAAGGGTGGAGGCATATTAATGCTACAACATGTAAAACTACATGACTCCACATAGATGCAGGTAAATTTGCTTGAAGGTGGAGTGGCCAAGCAATGAGTTGTATATGCTTTATAAATGACTCTGCAAGTCCATTTTGAACATATTCATACGGAACACAATATGTCAACTCAATTCTTGTTATAGTACAATAGTCTTCAAAAGACTTTGATGCGAATTATTTTGTATTATCCATACGAAATATTTTTATAGGATAATCATGAAAATGTGCCCGAAAATGAATAAGCATAGATATAAGATTTGTAAATACTATGTTTTGAGTTGATAATAATGAAATATGTGATTGTTTACTTGATGCATCAACAAGGACCAAAAAATAACAAAATGGTCCCGATATTGGATTAATAGGACTACAAATATCACCATACAAACTTTCAAGAATTGGTGGTAATTCTTGTGGAAGTTTCCAAATTGAAGGCCAAATAATCAATTTACGTTGCATGCATGCACGACATAATTCCATAGAGTCTACATCCACATGCTTTAAATTGTATCCAATTATAAATGGAATGATCTTTCTAAATAATGTAGATCCTGGATGTCTCAATCGTCCATGCCAAAGAAAAACACGACTCTCTATGATAGATGATGCAAAATTAAATATAATGGGAGGCCGAATTACAATTTGGTATAAACCATTTTCTATAACAAAAGCTTTTTTAATATTTTTATGGTTCTTTGTAAGAACCAAAATCTCTTTTCTATTTAAAATGGTGGTTGAGAGGTGATAATCATTAATATGCACATCTTAGTAGCTGATTAGACTCCAAGGTATTGAGAGTGCAAAAATCGCATGTTTACATTTTATGATGGAACCTGTAGGTAATTTTACCATCACTGTGCCCTCTTGGAAACAAAATGCATTTGTTCCAGCCATATTCATCATATTTTTAGTTTTCCAAGTTGAAGATTTTTTAATAAAAAATCATCTATCTCACAAGATAGTATGTGTTGTTGCAGAATCAATGAGCACATCATTTGATTCATCATTAGAGATTTTAACATTCATATAAGCCTCTAAGTCATCAACACCAATTGAATCCATCAACACATCCATGGTATGAACTTCACGAGCTTCAGCTCGTAGTTTCTTATTTTCTTGGAACATTTTAATAAAATATTCTGAAGTACAACACGCATGTACTAAATATCCAATCATTCCACACTTATGGCAAGAATGCATCTTTGATTTTTATTTTCTACTATAATTAATAATAGAATATTTATTCTTTTCATATGGGTAGAAATGGTCATGACTATGACTACTCTGATACTCATGAGCACGTTTTCCATGTTTATATAATTTTTTTCTTAGACTTTGAAATATTAAGTGTATGAGATTTTGGAATTGTAGTTCCAATAGGACGAGCTTTTACATTGCACAAGGGTAGCTCATTTTGCTTCTCCATAAGAAGTAGATAGGATATGAGATCAGAATGACTCTAAAATTTCATGTTCATATATTGTTGTGCAAGCAAAGCAGATACATGAGGAAATATAGAGAGAGTTTTCTCAATCATTTCTTCTTCAGAGATGCTTTGTCCACATAATCGTAATTGTGAGATAATACTATACATTTCACTATTGAAAGCATTTAAATTTGAAAAATCCAAGAGATGTAAATGTGTCCAATTATGACATGCGCGTGGATGGAAAATAGTCTTTTGATGATCAAACTTGGATTTAAAATTCTTCCAAAGTTCTGCAGGATCTTCCATTTTCAAATATTGATGTTATAATGTAAGTATAAGATGACGACGAAGGATAAGAAGTGCTTTCTAACGAATAGTAAGAGGAATAGAAATACTTATTGTATGAGGTTCTTCAAACATAATGGCATCCGAGAGTTGTTCTATAAATAAATTTACTTTTGCCATTTTTACCTATAATAGATAATTATTTCTATCTACAGTCAATGGTAGAAATAAAAGAGCTTGAAAATGTTGGGATGCATTGGTAATAGTTGAAACCATAGTAGAAGCAGTTGAAGATGTTGAAGCACTTATTATGAATAAATTTGTAAAGAAAATACAAGATCAAGTAGAAAAGTTGAGTAAAATATACCTTAAAATATAAAGTCAAATAAAATGATAAACTTGAATTTAAAAAATAATTTATATATATATATATATATATATATATATATAGTTTTAATTAAATTGTGAATTAAGGCAACAAAACAACACTAAGATGGCAACAGCAGGTAGTGGTATGGTCATAGGGTGGTAGCGGTGATAGTGCGACGGGCGGCAGCGATGGCAGGGTAGGTAGCAACGGCAGCGACAACAAGATGGATGGCAACGGCGGCAAGCGACAGGCAGCAACAACGAGTAAGTGGCAATGGCAGGGTGGCAGCAGCGACAAGGTGGCAGGCGGCAGCGATAGCAGTGAAGTCAGGAATAGTTTGGCGGCTGCTCAGTGGCTATTTGGCAACTATTTGGCAACAAGCGCGGGGTGCAGCAAGGAGCAAGCTGGGCTAGAGCTGGGTTGGATCAAGTATTCTAAGCAAGTATTCTAAGCAAGGAAGGCAGAGAGTGGAATAAGTGCTTTGAGCAAACAACTAATGTGTAAGGAGCCATCAAGAAGAGTAGCAAGATCATAAGGCAAACACTGAGCAAGAGTAGCAACAGGTTTGAAGAATCAAGACTAGAGCAAAAAAAAAATTGTGATAGTGTATAGAAGAGAGTCGTGCTGATAACGTATTGAGTATGTTTAGAAAGACACAAGAGTAGTGGTAAGTAATACACACACACAAGAGTAGTAGTAAGTCATACACACAAGAGGGTTTTTAAGGAGACAGAGCTTCACACATAAGAATCTATTGATCTGGTTGTGTCTCATATACAAGAAGAGAAAGAGGCGAAGATAAACAGTTCTTCTCCACTAGACTCTAAATACTATAGCTATAGTATTTACTGTAGTCTACAATAAATATTATGGAGAGTGCCTGCTACATTTAAGGCTCTCAACATTGTGATAGTAATTCATCAGGCAATCATATTGTGGGCAGCCCCCACACCATGAATGGAGCCCATTGATGGATCCTGTATCTATTGTCCAACATCTTCTGCATGGACAGTCGCAGGGCAGTCGCCACAGCCACCACAGCCACCCCTTTCAACATGCGTTGGTAGAAGCGTGACATTAGTTGTGTTGTGGATTTATCGTCAACTTCCCACTGGGACACTACAGAGCAAGGCACTCCAGCCACCATGAAAGCACGCGGAAGGTTGAGCACACCCTCTACTGTAATCTGCTAGTTTTAATCAGTGGTTAGAATTGATCAGAAACTCAATGTTAGTATACGTCTGCATCCCAGCAGCGGGGAAATGCCCTGCAAAACTATGTGTGCCCCGTCTGCACCTGCTTAACTGTCCACCAGCTGGCCCCGCTCTTGCACTCGGATATAGCCATGGTCAACAAGTTCCATAACTACCATCATCAACATCAACATCCACCCACCCCAGCGAGTCCATGAGCCCCCAAGTTGAACATCGATGTGGATGATGACAGAGATGAAGCTCATTAATGTAGGCCCCCCATCAGAGTTGTCGGAGGAGGGTGGGTGCCGGCGGGGCATACCCTGTTGCGGGGCATACCCTGTTGCTAGGATGCTGACTTCTTTGAGCACACCTGGCATTTGAGCTTTACAAAACCACTACTAAATCCAACATTAAACTCACCTCTCCTTTTCCAGACCCACATGCACTCAAGACCATCATGAGTGTGCGTCACTCAGTCATGACTCCGCAGAAAGAACACCATTAGATGGCGTTGAACTGCTTGAAGCCATATCAGTGTGGTCGAGCTTTGAAACATGTACCCTTTTGTGGCGGGGTTGCGAAGAGCAGCAAATGGAACCGTGGTAACAATCTGTTTGACGCCCCAAATGTGAACTTAATCAAAAGAATTAGAGTAAACTTTATGGAGAATAGTATTAGTTCATTACCTGACTGGGGCAAATCACCAGCTTGTGCTCATGCTCCATGCCGTCCAAAAATCGAGCCACGTCAGGCGTAATCAGTAACATGTACAATTGCTCAAGATCATCGGCAACTTTTTCTTCGTCGTATTCTGTCAAGCTATTAGGATCCATAGACTTGTGCAAATGGTTGAGTAGGGATTGCAGCTCCATTGGATTCCTGGGAAGGGGACTCATTAGCAGAGATTCCATGAGTTTACCTTTTGCCTAGAACAACAGATATGTTCACATAACATTAATTGAATCTGATCGATCTGAAGTCCACATCCAGCACAAGAAGTGAAAGAAGCATATAATAAACTACTCACCGTCCCAACTCCATACACTCTTCCAAGAGTCTTCTCACGAGATATCCAGTCACTCTCTTCTTCACAAAAATACTCCAAGAACACAGTGCCGTCGCCACAAGCATCAAGACTTGACGTGATGACGTTCCACGCATCCTAGCAGTGGACAACAATCTGGTTTCATAAGACTGGACAGGCATGTTGAATCGTCTTTGTACCAAGCATGCATTAAGACATGTATACGCGTCTGTTGCTTTGTTCTCAAGAATCCTTACCTCATCATTACAGTCAAATGCACAATAGAATTGCGACAGTGTTGACTGAACTAGTGAAGTACCTGGTTGGAAAAGAATGACCACATTCACCAATCAGGTACTTCACCCAGTTATTTCAACCAGATATTTCAGATAGTATAAATTTCGCAGTTACTTTTATATTTACTATGTCATGATCATGACAACATTCAACTCACCAAGTTGGGCACTTAGCTTACCGCTACGGTGAAGGTACCGTAGCACATGTTGGAATGTGTGCAACTTGTTTGAACGCAAAAACTTGGGCGAAATTTGTGCTAGAAGTGGCCAGGATTCAGACCCTAGAAGTCGGCCACTGGTAGTTTCTGCAAAGAGTAATTACGTGCTTGCAAGGAAAGTTTGCACTCTGGCGACATAAAATAAATCTGACCCTGCCTTTTTTACATAATCAAGAGCTTTCGCAAGCAATTTAATTGCTTGTTCCAGATGAGTGAGGTCGTTTCCATCAGATACCATATTTTGCCGTGTGTAGAATTCGGTTGGATTTTCACGCTCATGACGATGGCCAAACTTCTCATCATCCTCCTCTTCTTTTTTTTCCTCCGCACCCTCCCGAGGACAGCCAGCATGACGTTCATGTTGACAATGAGGACTCCAACAATGATGCTTACAAAGTTTAAGTGACGTACTCGAAAAGCTTGTTTACTCTTTATAAATGAAGAACTTCAACTGTTTTTGTTTAAATAGCAGATTGTGGCACAAGTCTTGATTATAAAGCAAATCGCCCATAGCTGTAGCAATCTTACTAGGAATATTCACATAAAAACGATTTCTTCTTACCCAATCACTCATCTCTTGCAGATTTCCGATTGCATCTTCGTGCCTGCACATAAAAGAAATTAATTGAGACACCCAGTCCACATTGATCCGACACATGCACAACACACTCCCCTATTTCCAAGTCTTGTATCCAAAAGCCGTCTTTTGCTGTTGAGAAATCTAGCATTAAAATTTCGAAGGTAAAGAAGGAACTGTAACAGAATCTTAAGTTGATGGATTTCTGCACCACTATTATCCTGTTCTAGTATCACAATTATCAGAAGTAAGTCAGTCTACAGCACAAGTATGGGTCCTAAAGGAATCTTCAATTTTAAGAATCTCCAAAATTTCAACTTCCAGTAAATCACTTAGGAAAAATTTGGTAATCTCACCAAGTCTGAGCTCCTACGGGAGTAAACTATTTCTTCTATCATTCCTCTCCGACAGAAATGTTAAACTACTTTATTTTTCGGTTGTAGGTCTCTCAACCTCTAACACATGATTAAATGATAATCCAATCATGTGGTAAGGTTTTTATTGTTGCAGCCTTTACGTTTCTACCATGCCAGCAAAGCGGTGGAAACACAATATCAAGCGACTGGAAGATTTGGCATACCTCGCGGAATCCATGGATCTCTGAACTTTCCGATGTAAAACGAGGACATCCTCGTTGGGATTATACAAACTCCGATCTTCCATAAGCTTCTTAAGATCTTGAGAGAGAATCTTGATCATCTCGAAGTCATTGCGAGTGTTACTTTCACGCTCTTCACGGCTTGCAGCATCGCCGCCAGAGGCACGTAGTTTAAGTGATCTTATTACGTGATGCACATTGGGTAGCATGAACTTGGCGTACACATCCTCTTCATCGACCAAGGTGGATGATAATCCCTCCAGCTTCACGATTAGCTCCTCAGCCTTCTCACGATGAGTCCCAAAATCAGCACACAAGCTGGCTTCCACAACCAAGCATTCCCGAGTTAGCAACTCCTTCGTTCTGCTGTCAGCTATGCATTCGATGCAATTTTGCCACTCTCTGAGCCAGAACCAGACTTTTTCTATCTGTCCAAGCCTGTAGTACTGAATGCACAGGATATCACAACAACGAGCCTTGACATCGTCCTGTGTGCATTCCTCACTTGACAGCCACTCAAATGCCTCGTCCAATACAGGGATCGTCCTGGAACCAATCGTAGTAGATGAACCATTTAAAGTAAAATTTTAAATTTATGAAGCCCTCAAATCTTGATTTGTGATTCTTAAGCCATCTATCTAAGATGTATATTATTCTTGCAAAAATACTGTTAGTAACAATGTGTGTAAGCACTGAATTGTTCTTCCTTTTTTTTTTTTTCTTTTTTTGACCTCATACTTTTGAACAAATTATTGTAAAAAATTGTGGAACATATCATCATAGTAAATTGAAAAATTTAGAAGATGGAAATATACATTCTAATCTTAATACTGATAATAATTTTTGAGATGATAAAGAAACTTTACAAAGTAAACAGATAGAAGAAAAACATATTAGTGAAGAAAAAATAGACATACCTACAAAAGAGTTAAATGGGCGATTTTATATAAAAATAATAAAATTAGTTTTCAAGATAATTACTCTAAAATCAAAGTTGATAGCTCAACATAGTCTTATACTATTACAAAAAATAGACAAAGACATTCATTTACTATTGACTAGAAATGCATCCAATTCTATTTATTGACATATGGTTTTTAAATATAAAATAAATAATTTAATCACCTTCATTAAAATATAAATAGAGAGGTGTATATGCAAAAGAAGGGAAGAGATACATATATATATATATATATATATATATATATATATAAATATAAAATTATATATAATAATAATTTTTAATAATTTTTTTCATATTATATATTATTTTTTATTTATAAATATTAGTCTATTGATGTTTTTATTTGTAACATGTGTTTTGAACAAATTTATACCATTGAGACTTCAATGTATAAGAATTTAAATATATAAATATATAAATAAATAAATATATATATATATATATATATATATATTGTTTTTAAATTTTAAATATGCACATATGTATTTTAAAATATTTATTTAATTCCTTGAAAATTAAGCATACAATAGTTGATTATTTTCATTACAATTTAATTCATATCAATAAAATAATAATACTGTATATATCTTTTGAAATAAATAACATGTATTTTTATGATTATATATATATATATATATATATATATATACACAAGCAAAGGTTAAACCATGATACTTTTCATTCAAATATAAAATTGATTAGGATTATTTTACTTACTTTTTGCTATGTTTTAAAGGTAAGGTATGTATGAAAAAATTATAAAGAAATATTGTTTTATTAATTTTTTGAATATGAATTTGAAGTTCAAAATTGTTAATACTTAATTTTAATATTTTATTATTATTATTACTATTATTTATTCATTGTCTAATTTTGATACATCTTGCTCATATGTTTTATTTCTTAAATTTTATAATTTTGTATTCATGTCTTTTAAAATAAAATATCTGTGAATAAATCGTGTACAATATACGTTCCGTCTCGTATCAGATACGTATACCCGACACTCATCAAAATGGGTATATACCCCTTTTCTGATGAATGAGGTCCGAAACAATTCTGAATAAGACCGTGTCATTGGGCGTTTGTGCACCAGTTCGCGGTTGTCCACCTCCGGCACTGTTTGAGGATGATTTGCGGCACTGCGTTTCATGAAATACTTTTTGCTACCCAGCGGTGCAGGTCACACTTAGCGCTGAAACTCCCACACACTCATAGTCGAGGGGTTCGGCAGGGGCTTCCATATGTCTCTTTCGATAATGATGCTGAACGTTGATAAGGATGAGGGTTTATGCTGAACGTTGATAAGGTTGAGGGTTTAAGGTTTAGGGTTTTGAGATGAACAGGAAGATCATAAGCGTAAAATTAGAATGCATTGAATAGATTGTGGGAAGAATTGCAACAGATCCCGGTAGCGAGATCCTTGCTAAGGGCATAAGAAGTAGGGGTGGTGATCATTTGGTGTCTCTATGTGAAGTTTGCCATGTTTTGACTGAAGATGGTTGAAGAGGCTACTATGGCGGTATTAGAAGAAAAGAAGGTTCAACGCGATGTGCCCACAGAGCAACCCAGTGTCAAATTGAACCGACGTATGCTGAAGAAGAAAAAGCAGCTTTTAGCGCAAGGGAAGGGCACCAAGAGCGAGTATTTTGACGTGTATGGTGCTGACGCGAAGGCCGAAGTGGTGTTGCAACCTCCAGGGCCGAATTTGAGGCTGACTTTCCAGGACTTGCAAGGGTTGGTGCTGTGGGTGCTCGCAGACGGCGAGAGTCCCAAGTGGGTATCTGTAAAGAACAAGCCGCTCGTGACGAAAGTTGTGATGCTACTTATGCCGGGATTAGACGCGGCACTTTACATGGAGCATCCTGCACTATTCAAAAGCCTCTCTCAGTGTTTTGGGGTTCCTCGAGCAGCCGTTGGGGTCAGTCCCGTGGCGACTTCAGCACAAACAGTTGAGGCTCTTCTTAGTTGCCCGAAACCGCGAGTGAAGAAGAACCTGAAGAGGGCGCATCCTGAGAGTTCAAGCTCAGATAGTGAGGAGGAAAAGCCGGTCCAGAGCGTTATACCGCCAGTTGAAGATGTGAGGCGTGGAGAGGATGGATTGATGCGGAGGCTGGAGAATGAAAACTCCAAAGAAGGACACAGCGTAAGTGTTAACGGTCAGCCGCCTTTTCCTGCTTCATATTACACTCTGACGGCTCGGCAGATACACGAAAATGGATACCCGAAGGTTGTCGAAGGGGAGGACGTTCAACCAGGTTTTGTTAGAACTCTGCCTGCCGCAGCAAATGTGACGCCCTTGGACATGGTCGCCGTCGATTGTGAGATGTGTAGCACATGTGAAGGGTTGGAGCTCACCAGAGTATCACTTGTGAGCTCGCAAGGAATTGTTTTGCTGGATAAGCTTGTAAAGCCAGGAAATTCTATCACTAATTACAACACACAGTACAGCGGAATTACAGCTGCCATGTTGGCTGATGTTACGACGACTTTGACAGATGTGCAAGAAGAGATTTTGAAGCTGGTGCACGCGGAGACGATATTGATTGGTCATTCTGTTGAGAATGATTTGGCTGCGCTGAAGATTTTGCACCCCCTTGTCATTGATACGGCGTTGCTGTATCATCATCCCTCAAGAGGGCCCACGCGCAAGCCTGCTCTAAGAATGTTAACTGGGCGATACTTGAAACGGAGAATACAGAGTGACAAAGGAGGCCATGACAGTGTGGAAGATGCGCGGGCTGCAATGGATTTGACTCTTCTGAAAATCAGCAAGGGTCCTGGATTTGGGAAAAGGTTGAAGCCCAACTTCGAGAGTCTAATTGAAGTCCTGGGACGTCACGGTTGTCGCACCTCATTAATAGACAGGCGGCCCATCCTGCACCAGTACGCCGTAGGGTCATGCAATGCAATCATCGCAAATTCAGACGAGGAGGTTTGTTTTAAAGCGGTGAAAGAGGTCAAGAAAACTGCTGTGGACTTCGTTTGGGCTCAGTTCACGGACTTAAATGCGTACTATGAGGACCAAGCGCGAGCCACGGAGGACTGGTCTATTCGCATGGCTGAAATGGCTGCCATTATGACCTGCAAGCAGGAACCAGGGTCAGCTGGTATATCGCTACCCGAAGGTTTGCGAACAGTCTTGGCTAGATTGGATGACCGCTTCAACAAATTCTACGACGCATTAGAACCTAACACCTTGCTCATAGTAGCAACTGGCCATGGCGATACTAGCAGTGTTCGACGTCTGCAGGAGCTCAAGTGGAAAAGGCAAGGCAGCTCACAGAAATGGAGTAGATGCGACGAAGACGTTCTGGAAGAATTTGCTGCTCGAGCAGAGACTACTCTCGTCTTCACATGTATCAAGTAGTCTCTATGCTGATTATTTCTTGGTGGAGCTACTCGTGTTTGTGAGAAATGCGGACCAGTAGCCTCTGGGCGAAGTTTACTAAGATCTTTATGAGTTGTGTCTATGCTCTGAAGATGATACTTAGTGGAAGAAACTAAGCATGCAGGATGCAGATAACAATGCAGGCAGATTTCCTCTATCACTAGCATTTTTTGAATATTTTTGGCAAGCTTCTATTGTTTGGCTTAGGTTCGGTAGGTTGGACTTTAGTGTACAATATCATCAAATTATGTTGTGGATATCTAAATTCCTTCATATTTCACAATAACATTATTTTTCTGGCAATTTCCTGGAAATGCTATTTAGAGTCCATGTCTAGTTCCATGTCAATGATGGCTTTTCTGTTTTTCGTCATTGGTTATCCTCATGCTTTGATTGGCCATCTAAGAGTGAAGTTTGATTTAAATAACTAGCAGTTGTTGGAAATCCTTACATATGGGTCGGCCAGTGTAAGCTCGCAGAGAGTGTATTTGTAAATGTGGACGTTATTCAGGGCCCTTAGTCGATTGGTAGTAAAGTTTGCAGTGTCCTCCTAAGTTTGATGTAAAGATTTGGCAGAGAAGGTTTCTTTACTCAAATAATTCTTCTGATTAGCGAGAACTTTTTGAGAATATTATTTAGCGAGTAGTGATGAACGACATCAATCAACCTGTCAGCAGTCAGTGCTTAACCGCGAGAGCCATTATAATTTTTACCAAGATCTGGAAGTTGTGGGGCATCGTGGAGCAAAAGTATTGCATCGCAATGCAATGTATCATAGCATTCAATAATCTACACCGTCCCTGCTAAGGCTTTAAAGGTGAGACCCGCTACTTCATACTGAGGATACTGGAGTACAGATCTTGCAGTACCTAAAGAAACGTAGTGTTAGTTGGGGATCGTTAAAAGTAGTAGTCAATCATAGCAGGGACAAGAAGTTGTGTAAGTTTTCAAAATAGACGTTGTAAACACAGTCAATGAAACTTGCACGATTAAATTGTCGCTATGGGAAGGCTGTCGTCATGTAAGTCGTTAAGGTCCTCGTCGAAACTGGTGAAATCCAAGACGCGCGACAGGAATTCATTGCATGAGGATCAGTGCCCAACAGAAGCAGCTCAAGTGCCTGCAGCAGCAGATTGTGTCTCCTGTAAGTTGTAGTTGTAGACGTGAGTGAGGACCTGTAGTTTGGGAAGTTCGGATTGACAGGGGTCCTTGCACACAAACTTGCTTGGCGTCGTAAGCGAGCGCCGCTTATTCCACAGATCGCTAGACCCCTATGAAATTAGCTTCTTCTTCTTCTTATTCTTCGGTTTTCTGATCTCCAACACCCATTTCCTCCTAGGTTGCATTCGCATGCTGCATTGTTGTCGCAGCGAAGGCTGGAGTTCCCTATAAGGGCTTAATATGCATGAACATCTGCCCTTGGAAATCGTCGGAGGACGTACAACGCCTTGATTAAAAAAATCTCGTCATTAAAACTATGACTATCCATCTTCTATACTTCATGGTTATTAGCTTTCCTCGATCGAAGAGAACACTTCCAGCGGATAAAATATGATATACACTTGGAGTGACTAGCTGCGAAATTGAACCTACTGCTTCGAACAGAAGAACTGGGACTGCCTTCCAAGAAAAACTATATGTCAGAAAATTAGACCTCGAAATTGCGATGAATGCACTAGTCTATCCCCACAACAAGGAACCGAATATTCCAATACTCTGATGCGACCAAGAAAACAGTTATCGCTAATGAGAGGACTAGTCATTTGGTGTCGGCGGAATTTTTAATTACTGTCACTAATTATACATATCATATGCACATGGAGTTTTTCTGTAACTTTTAAATTTTAATGATGTTATAATTTAACTTTTGAATATTATAAAAAAAATCCAGATAAAAGAAAATTAAAATCTATAGATTTATGGTTTACTTTTCATGGATTTGAAATAAAGAGCTTAAATACATAAAATTATTAGACATACTTTTGCACTACAATGTTTGTTTTATATATTCTTGATGTACGTATTATTTTCAAGCTATTTTTTTAAAAAAAAGAAGATATATCTAATTCAAATGTAAAATTACAAAGCAATGATACAAGTATAATTATTATACTATAGCTATGGTCTTATTAATTAAGAATATGGATTGATTTCTAAAACTAAGTTAGGACAACAAAATAAATTAAAAATATAATTTTGAATAATGCAAAGATAAGAAAAATAAAAAATAAAAATATTAAAGTCTAGAATTATTTAATGTAATTTTCTTTTTATAATTGTGGTACCATAAAATATTTCAAGAACTTAGTGTTGAATGTAGAAATTTTCTTTGTTTATATATATATATAATTATATTGTAGTAATGATGGCCAAATTAGATAATAGAAAGCTATTAATTGGATTTTAAAAGCTATTAATTAGATTGGAATATATAATAGTAGCATTAACTTCTACAATATCATATACGATTTAAAAGATTGTTGATATTTTATATTTATTTAAGATAATATTTGTTGTTGTTTGATAGTTTGATTTTTATATTTTATATGTGAAATCATTACATTCTAATGTTTTTGATAAAATAGAAAAAAAATCTACATTACCAACATTATAATGAAAAAATAACTATATTAAAATAAAAAAAAGTAGAAACTTTATATTATGTTGTATACTTCAATAATTTTTAATCAAAATTTAGTTAACCTTTATAAAAAAGAAGGCAATTGGATGATTAATAAAATAAAATTAGACATTGTAGGAATAATTATGTGAATTATTAATATAGTTAAAGCAAGGTGTTATTGATACACTACTCAGGTAGGAAAAGACCTTAAGATTTCAAGAAAATGAAACAAAAGATATTTATTTTAGATCACAAATAAGGAGCTACAACAAGGCACAAGAAAAAGACCAAAAGGCTCAAGGTATACCACAAGAATTGCATTGTTTAGCCTCGTTGTTAGTAATAAAAAGTAAAACTCTTTTATTTTATTTTCTAAAACTCTTGAAATCTTATTCTACTATCACAAATATACATATTAACACTAGTATTTATCAAATTAGAAGAATATAGTATTACATTAGATAATAAAGAATTTTGTGGAGTTTAGATCAAGATGCAGAGTTTTTCTTTAAAGATTTAGATTTTTATTAAGAATGCCAACACAAATTTTTGCTCTTCATACAAAAATTTGATTTGACTTGAATTGATGATATTTCATATGTGACATTTACCATTATATATAATAAAGACTCATTTTAGAGGTGGTTTATACTACCACACTAATATGATTATTATGCTTGTTGATATATATATATATATATATATCATTTTTTTTTATTATATGTATCATATTCATTTTATGTATCATTGTTATTTGGAAATAATGTAAATTACAATGTAATCCAAATACTTATAGGTATACTCATTGAGCACTCTAAAATTAATCTAATTTATCATTTCTTATTTTTAAAATATTGTAAGAAATTGAATAAAATATTTTAAAATGCATCTTCAATATCTTAACATTTAAATTTTATATCATGTGTTTTCATATAAAACATCTAGATGCAAAATCTGCCACAATGAAAAAAGCATAAACACAAAGGGCACCTTTCAAGTTACATTGGTTAGAAATATCAACCACAAATTTGCAAAGAAACAAACTACAACTAATAAGAGAAGAGGACTATATACACATCACATCAGAACTCTGCATTGTCACAATTGTACACTCCAAACCGAGCCCAGACTTTGGATCAGCGGCTAGGATTGAATCCGAAAACCTCAGCGATCCGACGGTCCAAGATGGCGGAGCCAGTCATTTGGGTTGGCTGGCCTCTAAGCCACTGTTCTACGTGGCAGCACTCACCCTGGCTTGGCCCGCGCTGGGCCCGCCGTCCTATACCCGTGCAGAGACCCATTGCTGTTAAGGCAGGGGTAGTGGGGTTGGGCAGCCCCTTTTACCCATTATTATCGCTACCGTGGGTTCCGCACAGTGCCAACGTCGTCGCTCAGACCTCGTTGCCATCTTCAGTCCTCGTCCTAGTCGCTTTGCACAGTCTGTGTTCGTAGTTGGATACTCTCTGCCTGCATCTCCTCCTTCTTCCGATTCGCCCTTGGTGGTGAAACGTTGGTTGAATCTTCTATATTCGGCTGCCTGCGAGCGCAAGTCAATTGCGTGGCTCTCTGGCCACTGCGTGCTACCTTTCTTTTAGTACCTTTGCAGGATTTTTCGTTTCCTCTAATACAGGACTGCTTTAGGCGAGACTCGCTCTTGGGAGTGCAATCTCGTAGCTGAATTGTAACATTTTTTTGTCTATTGAAGCAGAGAGAAGCTGTTCTGCAGCAATGAATTACTTCGGATAATGGTGAGATATTTATTTTTCGCCTCTTGCTTCTTTCGAGCTGGTAGCAGGAGAGATCTTAGGGCTCTATGATATACTGGGATCGCAGAAGAACTGCGGATGAATTGGAAACCTTGGTGCTAGACCGTTTTCATTATCGGCCTCTGTTATATGCCACGCATTGGCGAGGCGCACATTTCGCTACGGTCAGCTCTTCTTCAACAATTTCAAGCTCGTCTAAAATTCATGAAATGTTTGCTTGTTAGATGATGATAAGTAGTGATATTTTCAGGCACTGTACGTAGGCAACAAGTACCGCTTTGTCAACCCCATTTACTTACTTCCGAAGTACTGATGGGTTAAACTCAATTCTTGTGATCTAAACCACTTCATCACGTACAATCAAATGATGTGTGGAAAAAAACATCAAAATTACTTTTTTGGAGTCATTTCCGTGGCCATAGATTTGTGAACTAAATTCTCTTGGCCCTAAGAATTCTTTTCTTATCCAAATTTTGAGTATGAGTTGCTGCAATTCTTACATTCAAGACCATCATTGTATACAATTCATGATGCATGATGATTCTACAAACAAACATAGATGTTTGCTCGTCTTTGATACCCAATAGATTGAGTACTGTATTCAAGTTAGAGAAGTAAGTGGGGGTCGGGAGGAAAGATACGAGTCGTGAAACTGTCCAGAACAGGCGTTCTTCCATTCCGGTATCCCACCACTCTTCCGCTGACTCGAATTGCTCCACTCTTTTCACGGGGAATTTGATCAATCTTCTTTCGACTTGCCCCGATTATTTCCTCGGTTCCTGGATGTAGAGGTCATGACTTTGTACTTGTGTGCAGTGGTAGTTTTTTTGGCACATCATGACAAACTTTTGATAATGTGAGTGGATTGAGATTTCAAGAGATGAATCCAATTAATTGCGATACTAGAGTGAGTTAGGGCTGTGTCTGAATGCGGTTGTTGCCAGCACATGATGAAATTCTGGCTTGATGGGTTTAGTTTCAGTAACTCTGATGGTGTGATCGATTACGCAGAAGTCACAGAAACCGTTGAGACACGATCCAGAAGCAATCGACCACAGTAAGATCCCCCGAACTCCTGCACTACCCAAGTTTCTGAGGACACATCCGGTTAGCATGTTTCTAACTACTTCAGTTCTAGGCTTATGAGCAAGCCGCACTAATCCCAAAGCAAACACGAATCGCCATACTTCTTTAATAATATATATCAAATTTCGTGTTTTACTGATAGAGGAATCAGGGTTCTGGATCACAGTTAATCATCAAAGAACTTGAGTATCAATCGTGACAGCCGCCATTGTCGAATTTTGGGATTTGGCAATAGGTCATTACGTCAGGCTCATGGTTGAAACTCCTTTCAGTGGCCAGGCTTATCTCTGACAAACCTTCGGAATAACCAAACCCGGAAGTATGTCTGCTTTTATCATTTCTCAGTACCTCTTGGACATAAGAGTTAAGTGTTTGTGCAAGCGTGTAAACCCTAACAAAACCCTACAGCGTTCCATGTTCCTTCAAATTTCCCACCTCACAGCCGGCTGAAACCATGTAACATTTTCTCCTCAAACTGCTATTGCGTACAGTTGTGAGGGAAATACAGCTAAGTTGAATATCACCATAGTAGTTTCTCATCGATCTCAGTTCAAATTACAAATCATCTTGTATATATTTTCTTGTTGGAACTTCATGACCATTCACTTAAAGTTTGGATCCACCAAAGTCAATTAGCTTTACATGTACAGAACCACATGACTCAAGTTTTTCTCCTTTGAAATCTGTGTTTACAATATTATCAAGTTTTATGTCACAATGAACCACCTTCATGTCATGGAGATAGCACATTCTAATGGCAATTTGCATCATGTCAATTTTGTTCAAAAGTATCATCTTTGAGGTTTGAGGATTTTTCATCAAATAACAACTGTATAGGGCTTCTATTACTCTTTTATATGTCTATTAAAATCTAACCACATTGTCTTAAATACACCCATCATTCCACCCCCTTAAAAGTAGTGGATTCTATTCCATATATTAGATAAACATAATCTAAATAAATTTTCACTATATTCAATGCAACACTTTCAAATTGTTAGATGCAAACATGCAAACTCCACATCTGAATGTGACTTTCTCTTAATTGTAATACTATGCACAGCATTACAATAACCAAATCAATTCGAAGTGTAATTTTCTTTACATTTTTTTTTTATGTCATTCGCAGTGTAAAAGTCTCCCACCAATCTCTCAAACAACTTGACAAATTTTATATAAACTTTCTAATGTTGGTTGCAATTTATGGAACAAATAAATAAACGTTCAAGTGCAGAGCTGCATTCGTAACATTGCACGATATCGACATGAGATCATATGACGAACTCATGAAGAAGTGCATTCGCTCAAAGAACAATGAACCCCAAGGTGTTGCCAAAAGTCAAAGATCATGACTAAATCACATGAATAATTACCTCCCGGAAACTAAAGGATTAAGGATGCACGGCTGAGTACTTTTCGTAAGATAGGGCAAGTTCATTAAGATCTAAATTCTGTATTGTGAATAAAAATAGGACCTTCCTACTCAATCCTACCCAGCATTAATTACAAAAGACTCCGCCCAAAGTTCAAGACCAGAATCTAACACAATGTCTACCCCGTCACATTAACAGGCAGTCACCATTCACGGTAGTGATATGGCTTTTACATCTACATCCCCGGAGATTTGTTTTTACACTTAAATCTGTGTCAAAGCGAGCGACAGACTGAATACAGCATAAACAGTCACAGACGGGATACCTAAGCTACCAATTAAGTGACTAAGCAAGTAAAATTACTCGTGTTGACAGCCAGCGAAATAAAAAGAGATCGAAGTGTTAAGAAAAAGCAATTCACCTGACACCAAGCATTTTAAAAGAGCCGTAGGGGTATTAGAAACTAGACTGAGATTTAGATGCTCCAAAAAATCAGCAAAACACTCGTTCGAAAAGGTGCCGAAGGTCTACTGCCTACCACGTGACACACCAGAACCCTAAGTGCAGTAAAGAAAATTTCTGTCTGGAGCCACTTAACAATTCCCCATAATTTTTTTGAAACGAAGACCAAGTATCCATTCTGCAAACAATTTCCTGACTCCACACAAATGCGCATTTAGGGTTGCAGAAAGTACCATCACGAAAACTACGACCACAAAAATTACTCAAAGACAACATATGCATAAGCTCCAAATACCACAATCAAAATACACAGCATAACATCACTTGATACGCTAAAATCCACGAAAAGTGAACTGAAGTATTATTGCCAAATTACTCATCGTTCGCCACAATCGTAACAAATGTTAACGGACTCTGTTGGACTCCTCGCGGATCAGACAAATTAGTTCAGCTAACCTCCATGTTGATACCCCAGCATAGAAGGTTAATACCCATCTAGATATCAGACGCATTCAATCCCCAACCTAAACTAAAAACTCGTCCAAGAAGAAGCCTTATGTCCCAACATCACAAACAGCGGTGCTTGGTCAGAAATCTCGAGAGAAAGAATTTCGTCCGCACCCATATTCTAGTTCACCACGTCGAACACAAGCTTTCTCGACTTGATAGGAGCCCACCTAAACCTCTTATAGTACGCGGCCTGAAGCAATGCCAACGAAAGCACAAAGATCCACTTAGCTCCAGCCAGCTTCCGCTCGTCCATCTCCGGCTCAGCAGCCCACGACAAAAATGTTACCACATCCTTCGCCATCTGAGATTCCGTCGCCGGGGTCCCATCCTCATATTCCACACCCCCGTCCGTCAACATCTTAGGCATCGCAATGGCACCCCCAGGGAAGTAAGGATTGTAATGCAACCCCTCCCTCACTGAAACTCCAGCGGGAGGTTCACGATAACCCAGCAGCAACGCATACACATAGTTCTGCCCGTCGTGACGAGCCTTGGTGATCAAACTCAAATCGGGAGGGTACGCCCCACCGTTAGCGAATCTCGCAGCTGATTCATTAGGGTAAGGGTTCTGAAAATGGTCGCTGGGTTTCCCAGGCCTCATGTACATCTCTCCTTCATCGTTGGGCCCATCCTCGACCTCCACTTCTGCGGCCAAGCACTTCACCTCGTCCTCGGTATAAGCCACCCCGATTAAATCCCGATACGCCACCAGCGACGCACTATGGCACGCCGCGCACACCTGCTGGAAAACCTGGTGTCCGCGCCGAATCGAAGCATGGTCATACCCGCTGAGAACACCATTGTGCGACCAAGGGTACTGCGGAGCCGCAAGCCCATGTTCCGCCTCATCGGCATAGGCCACACTCGCGAGCCCTAAAAGCCCCGTCGCCCCAGCGCCCACAAGTGCGAGCCCCCGCAATCCCTTCGCCCAAAAACCAGCATCACTAGTGTCCTGCTGTTGTGCGTTCACCCCCAGGGCGCGCACAACTCCAGCCTCCACCTGCACCTGATTTCTCTGCTGCAAGACGCTGCGTACAGCTCGAGACAAGACCCGCGCCATTGGCTCCGAAACCCCTCGTCCTGCCATCCCCGAACTCCTCTAATCTCACCTCTGCAAGCAGCAAGAGTTCGCCTTCTTAAATTCCTTCGCAGAAGAATTCTTCCGCGTAGGCTCATTCGTGAACTTGTGGGCAACAATCCCACCTCCTCGATGAAGAAGATGACGACGCCAGAGCAGCTTCGGTGATGGTTTGCATCCGTTTGATAGATGAGAAATGGAGCTTTACAACTTCGCCGTCGTTGTTGTGCCCCTAGCCACACAAAAGTTGTTGCCCAGTTTTGGTTACATTGGTATGGATCTGCTCTTTCCAACACTGTTGTCCCTCTACCCCACGCCGTGCCAAGCTGCTAATGATCTGGGGACAGAAAGTAATTGGTTTCAATTTGCAATCCCTTTTGGGGTTTCATGAAAAATTGTTATTTGATCATGAAAACCCTCTGCGGATTGTATAAGTTGAAGGGATATATATATATATATATATACAAGCTTTCAAGTATCATTGAAATATCACCTCGTAAAACTTTGATTGAATTTAAGTGCATAACGAAGAATACTTATCTTTAAATTTTCTTTACAGCACTTATTAAAAAAGATACTTAAAGAATTTTAAATTTAAAATACATATCTATAAATGGCTGTATTTGAATATTTTAAATTATATATATAGTTTATAATATTGTTTGAGAAGTCTACAGCATATTACTCGTATTTGTTATAATGTCAATTTACATATTTATATAAAATATTATAAAAAATATATACTACAACTTATTGGAGAAGTCTAGAGTATATTTTATAGAAGCTTCTAAAAGCCTATGAAATATACTAGAAGATTCTATAAAGTTTTAAAAACTCTTCAAAGATATTTGAGACAATAGTTAGTTAGACTTTTAGCATGTGTTATAAAAATATTCTTATAAATGAATACATGTATATATATATATATATATATATAGATAATTTGATTACAGTATTAATTAGAAGCCTTTAATAATAAATTTTAATATTCTGAACTTTATTTAATAGATAAAATTTTCTGTTCAACCAAAAACTATAGTAGCTATTTTTGAGGTGGACTTATTTTAATAAATATTTTTAAGGTGTAAAAATTTAAAATAATACTAAAAATGTGAATTTTAATTTAAAAAATAAATTTTGTTAGCTTGTAGTTGCATAATAAAAACCTAAGCATTTCCTTAAAATCTTTCATATCAAAATATATATTCCAAGGTTATACTTGAAATTCATAAATTATTACTTCATTCTATAGCATTAATACTAAGATGAAGGTTTTGATAATTATTATAGTTGGTTTGTAATTTTTTCTTTAAAAAAATATGTAAACGTATGTATATATATATATATATATATATATATATATATATATATGAAAATTGCATGCTTATTTCATATAGATTTTCTAATTTCACATGGTAATATTATAAAGAAATAAAACTAAAAGTCTTATATTTGTAGAAAAAAAAAATAATAGAATTTTTTTTTTTGACTTACTTAGTTCTATCTTCTCTTGTAAATTATAATGGATCCTCAAGCTATATTTAGGATGTTGCCTTAGTAATTCATTACATCTAGTAAAAGTATTGGATTAAGTTATTATTGATAAATTTAAATGGATAATATATTTTTAGATATTTCTAAACCAAGATATAAATCTAGATGCTTAAGATATAAAATAAAAAAATAAAAAAATATAATTTGATACAAATTACAAATTATAAATTTATACAATATTATTTGGAAGTTCAAATATATCATAGATATTGTTAAAAAGAATTTGTTCTAACCACAAAAATAGAAATTTTGGTAAGACCATCAAAATTATCTATAAAAAAAAAAAAAAAAAAAATCTATTAGAAATTTAAAATAAACAATATAATTTCTTATATATATATATATATATATATATATATATATATACATAAAATCTTTCAAATTTGTAGGGACTAGAAAAAATTGCAAAACTGATGCTTTAAAACCTTAGACATGTGCTAAGTTGGACTAAATGCATTATTTCAAAAAACTTACTTCTAAATAAAAATAAATTCTGATTAATAATTATGCTTTTTTTTTTTTATTGAAACTAAGATTTCTTACAACACATTTACTACAATGTTTTTGTGCAACATAATTAAGTGTGGATTAAATAAATAAAACTGAGTATAATCATAAATCTTAAAAATAAATATAATCATGTGCGTGACTATCTAATTTATACTATTCATGTTGAAATGAATAAATAATCTTACTAGATTAACCACAAATAAGCAAACAATCAATACGTCCCATTTGTTAAAAAACTTTGTTACACTTTACTTGCATGATTGGTCTTTCAAGTAATATAAATTGACTTAAAGTTCATGTTGATGTTTATTGTATAATATAAATATTCTTCCAATTGTATACATTCTTTACACCTAAAACCAGTTTTAAGGATTGGAGAGCCACAACTAACAGAGGGGCTAATGTCATCTTTAAAGAGTGTATACAATTGGAAGAACGTTTATATTGCACACTGTACATCAACATGAAAATTGAGTCAGTTCACAATATATGAAAGACCAATCATGCTAGTAGATTGTATCAAAGCTTTTTAGGAATTGGAATGTGTTGATTTTTTGCTTGTTTGTGGTAAATCTAGTAATATTGTTAATTCCAGTCAAATATGAATAATGTCAATCAATCTATTATTTCCTTTCTACATGAGAAATATTGATATCTTGAAACTGTTGCAAAAGTTTAAGTGATTTCTGTTTTCAAAAGTTAAAATGTAAAATATATTAAACATGCTTAATTACTTAGTTCTCTTTAAAAAAACAAGAATAGACTTAGGTGTTCAAACTTGCAATGAATGTAGACAAGTTGCCGGATTAAGAACAAGTTGTAAGGATTTCATATTGATAACATTTCTCCATGAACAAGTGAGTTCATTCGGAATATAGATTTTTTTCTCCATAAGTACTGATATTCTAGAATACATAAACTTCTTGGAGTCCACTAATTCTTTAAATGGTGCTTATGTTGAAAAAGGATTGGAGGACAAATTGAGTGTAATGAGTGTGAAAATTGCTTTTGGTTATCCAAACCTCGGTAACAATCATTTTGTCACATCACCAGTGAGTTTCCCAGGAGAAGTTCCGTTTTAATAAAATAGACTAGGTAGGGAAATATTACATGAACTTGGATGATTGTCTTTCAGGAGTTAAGGCATTTACAACTTAACAAATTGAATATCACCACAGCAACTTATATTTGTATATGTATAAATATAAATATATAATTATAGATCAATCAATCTGCATTCGCAAGCCAACGCAATGCCGGTGCAAATGTCATCGTCGTAGACTCCTGTGCACATTCCAGCCTTGCTTATCATCTGAATCGGCCCTAATTCTTAACTGCTTGACTAAGCAACAAATCTGCTGTTTATAATGTTGAATAATCGGAAGCAATTCAGCACTGGTGCTTTGCCTGCTCGATCACCATTTCAAGAACAGAGCAAGTCGCAGTGGTGAACTGTGCACTGTACGATCTTCCTGCTTTAGTCAGCAGTACAACGACTGGAAGGCCTCTACATATCCTTAACTAGTACCGCGTTGCTAGGTTTCCATGCTAGACATGAGCCTAGATTGATTTGTTCAACGCTGTTCAAGTGGGGTTGTGAAAGGTTTGAGCGTCAAATTGTTTTCGTTATAGTAAATAATTCATCGCACCGCTCTATGACTCCGCAGTGAAAGTTGTGTCCAAGCTTCCTTTTCGAGATCATTATGTCTCGAAAATTATTGGATCCAAGCTCCGTGGAATACAGTGCAGTTGAGCAGACGCGATGCAATTCCTCAACCTTCGCGTTTCATCGACTCGGTGGATGATCTCTTCGACAATGCGGACATCTTCGTATATAAACTGCGGTTGGAGGGGCAGACGGGCTACCCCGCTGATTGCAGCTAGTCTTTTCCCCTAGTGTTAAACGTTTCGATCACTGGTGCTGCATCAATGGCGAGTTCTTCATGCAGGTATTTCTTGCCTCAGAGATGCACAGCAGCCAGCTCTTCTTGCGGTTCCCATAAGTTCAGAAGTTGTGGCAAGGATGATTTTGGTTGCAATGCAGAGACCTTGTCGAACGGAATCCTTGGTTGTGTTGAACAATGATGAAAATTTATTCACAGTCCTCCTCCTGGATGCAGATTCAGATTCGTGAAAGCTCGCCATCTTCTCTGTCACGTGGTTTTTCTGGTCTATGCGCTACAGGGGTCACACGTACACTGTGAACGTGTGACTGCTCTGACTGGCAGCACGGCTTCTCACTCACCAAGGGCATTTGCAGGAGATGTGTCTCGTAATTATTCCTTGTCTGAGGACTTCCGAAGGATATCCATTTTACGGACCATCTTTCGATCCATTGCCGACTTCTTGGAATTCCCAGGTATAAATGTAGGTGACAAGAATATTGAGCAGGATCGGTCGAGAAATCTCGACAACCCTTCTGAAGACGATATCGAAGTACCAGAGAAGTTTATCGATACATCAGTCGCCGAATACATCTCCAGCGCCGACAATGAAGAGTATGTCCTCTGTTTTGGACCAAACCAACCACTGCTTTCACGTTGTTTAACTTTTTTGAACTTCAATGTTTCGGTTAGTCATAAATTTCCAGGCATTCATTTTCGCAGAGATCAGGCTGAGGGTTCGGGTGACGACGCAGTTGGCACGCCACATTTGCTCATGCCAGGGGACACGCCATACACATGTAAGTCCGGGAACTACATTGACGACTGCTGGTGGTGTGATCCAAATTGGCAAGTCCGTCGCCAGGCGCTGGCAAACTGCGTAATTGGCTTTGGACAGAATGCGACAGGAGGAAAGAACGGCAAACTATATGTCGTCACCTCCAATAAAGACGACATCAAGAAACCGGAAGCGGGAACTTTGCGTTTTGGCGTGACGAGATCCGAGCCTCTATGGATAATCTTCAATGGGAGCATGACCATCAGGCTGGCAGGGGAGCTCGTCATGACCAGCGACAAGACCATCGACGGGCGCGGTGCAGAGATCCACCTTGTGGGATCGTCTCAAATCACCATCGAGGAAATCTCAAACGTGATCATCCATGGGATTCACATACATGACATCATCTCCTCTGGCCCCCATCACATTCTCACAGCGCCCTCGCAGCACTCTCTCCGAGCTAAGACCACAGGTGATGCTATCCAAATCAAGCAATCGCGTCACGTCTGGGTTGACCACTGCTTCCTATCGAAGGCCGCCGATGGCCTTGTCGACGGAACCAAGAACTCGACGTTCATTACAGTCTCGAATTGTTACTTTGAGAAACACAATAAGGTACTAGGAAATGAACAACACGTGGCTTTTTCGAGACTTTCTAGTCATTGTCTTCTCGAGTTGTCTATTGTGCGGACGAAAAGTGACAAACACGGATTTTCTGGGCTAATTATAGTAGAATGTGTGATACAGGTGATGTTGTTTGGAGCCGCTCCTGAGGATGACTTCGACAGGAACATGCAGGTTATCGTCGCTTTCAACAGATTCGGACCTGGCCTTACTCAGAGAATGCCCAGGTTTGGGTCAAAGTTCTCTGCTATTTGAACAGCCGCAGTGAACATTCTGGCTAAATGTCCGTGTCCATGGCTTATTAGATCGATTTGCGAAGTGGAGACCTGCTGTGATCGTCGGCCTCTGGTTGCGAGAGTAGTTCAGTTGGGGTTGTATATAGCAAACTTCGGGCAGCAATCAAACCTTGCGTCAGTGATCCCTATGCCTGTACCCTTGCAGATGCCGCTACGGGAACTGCCATGTTGCAAACAACTTCTACACCGACGGGTGGGGTTTGTATGCCATCGGTGGTAGCGAGGACCCAACCATTCTGAGCCAAGCAAATAGGTTCATTGCCCCCGATGCTACAGACAGAAAAGAGGTTACAAGCGTTACACCCTCTCAACTCTTCCCTCGTTCTCGCTCTGCACTGTAATGGTATCGTATGTTACTCTCGTTAGACCCATCACTTGTGAACTAGAGTTGGCCTCACCAGGTGTGTGCATCGCCATTTAACTCACCTATGAATTATAAGTTACTTTTTCAGGTGACGAAACGTCTTGATGACGATGGATCCACTTTCGGAGGATGGCAAAAATGGGACTGGATGTCGATTGGCGACAGTTTCGCGAGTGGAGCTTTTTTTGTTGGATCTGGAGTGCAGAATGCATCATCAGCTGTCGACGACAGAGCTCGCAGCTTCGTGCCTCGCCATGCCTCGTGGGCGCCAAGCATGACCGAGGATGCCGGTCCTCTCAGTTGAGTACCTGGAAGAGCTTGCTAGAAAATGAAATACAGACTCTTGGCACAAACCTTGGTCAGGAGATTTGATACGCATGATGCCAAGGCATATCATGAATTGTTGTCGGGATTAATCATCGCCGAACTTCTCTTCAGAACTTCGATAACGGTAGTTGTCGTCGAGGTTGTGTTTGCTAGAGAAACGGAATGAATTCAAACAATGCACACACCGTGCGCTAGAGAAGGTTTGTTGCATTCAAACTGGCAATAAGCAGGCTTCCTTATTGTGTGATCAGGAACTTATACTTAATTCAAACTGCATGTGAAATACCGATGCACAATATGTCTTTATTTATTTTGAAATAATCAAACCATGTGTCTCATCTCTAATCACATCTTGAACATCCATTGCAGTGTAAATAGTTGATTTTTTAAGTAATTTAGTTGAGTTGGTTGTTAATCATTTAATTTAATACATGTAGTTTTTTTTGTTCATTTAAGAGAAATCACTTACAATATATATTGGATTTCATTATTTAATAGTATTGAGGTTTCAAATCATCTAAATCATAGAATGTAGAACCTTTACTAAATAAGGTTTTGATAATCTTATTATCACCAATATAAGTATTAGTAATAAAAAGGTGGAAATTCAGAGTATTTTACATTATGAAATTCAACTTGAAAATGCACTAGATATTTGACTATAAAAGGTATTTAACTTACCTTGAATTTCTTCTCGTAATCAAATATATATATATATATATATATATATGGTATTTAAAAACACTTGACTTAGCATTTGTAATCCTTTTAAAATCCTCAAATCAAACAATGGATATTAATCAATCAATCAATTTATATTTCTACATTGCCTTAGATAATTTTTAAGATTTTTTAGATACCTTTTATTTATTTCTAAGATAGTTGAATATGCTTTTCAATTCATGAATAAAGGCTTTATTAACATTCTTTAAGCTACTAACCATCTTAATTAATCATGAAACAACTTCTCAACAAAGCTTAAATAATCTTAAATAATCTTTATAAATTTCTAAAACAAACTTATCAACTCTTTATAAAATATTAATCCAACCCTATACAAATCCTCTATAAATCCTTAACTAATCCACCTCAACCCACTCCTAGACATATACCAATTAGACATACATCAAATGGTAATAATAAGACATTTTAAACAAGTGAATTTATCCCAAAATCAAAAGAGATAAAAAAATAAAAATAAAAAAAATAAAAACAAGTTATGGTACAAGTTTATTATATGCACTAAGCGGCCACACTAAAAAAGCAACCATAATGTAAAATAATGTGGTGTTAATATTGTCTTTTTATAAAAAAATAAAAACTTCTACTTACTTTGTAAGCTTGTAAATAAGGCAAAATAAAGTAGAGTAAGAAAATAATTAATATATACAACTTTAGGAAGAAATAAATAATAGTTTGTAGTAAAATTCACCTTAAGGTACCAATAATTGATACTTGGAGAAGATTGGTTGTGAACTAGGGTCAAAATTCGATCCCAAGGCACAAAATTGTGCATGTATGGCAATTAGGAGTTCTTTTGCTGATTGAAGAGAAAAATGTAAGAGCAAACTTTAGAAAGGTTGTTCTAAAATTAGTTTCAAGTGATTTGGATGTATGTTGTATTTTTTTAGAGCTTTTTAAAATGAGAGATATATTCAAAGGTTTCAGATTTTTAGAAATAAAACAAGATTCACATATTTGAGGTATTTGTGGATATGGTAGCAAATATTTAAGAGAAATTTTGTGAAATCTTTCTTGTGCTTGTCTTAATTTTATTTTACAAATTTGAAGTCAATTAAATGGTTAGATTGAAGGATATGGAAGTTTTATTGGATTTGGATCTTAGATATTTGAATTTTAGGATAAGTGAGGTTTTTTATGATCTTCAAAAATCCGCCAATTCAATTGAAGCAAAAATTTGTAAGAAAATTTTGGACTTGGATATCTACACTTTTTTATATTTAGAGAGAAATTGAATAGTTGGACGAGGAGCAATGAATGCTGATAGATCAACGTCCAAATTGAAAAAAGATGAAAACTGACACCCATGAGTTTTAGGATCTTTTTCTCTCAATTCATAACTTTAACTTTCTTCAAAATTTATATGGTTGTTATTTTCTTTAAGAATTTTTATGTTGATAAAATCATAGTTGAAATCAACGATTCAATTGATAGCTATTGGAATTTTAAAACAATTATAACAACTAGTTAGGATTAACTTAGAATTTACTTGAATTTGTTTAAGCTTTTGCTAAGATTGATTAGGACTTTATAAGTATTTTTTAAAGAATTTGGTTAATATTTTATTAGGATTTTATAATAATTTTTTAAGGATTTTTTCAGAATTTAGTTAGTGTTTTATTAGGATTTAATTATTTTTTATTAGGAATTTTATTCGATTTTTATTAGAATTTTTTTAGGAATTTTTTAAGACTACATTATAGTTTGATTAGAATTACTTAGGATTTTTATTTTTAATAAATTTATTTTAGTATTTCCTTATATTTTTTATTAAATTATTATATTTTTTATTTTTAGTATTTTTTTAGAATTTTTTATTTTTATTTTTATTTTAAAATTTAATTTATAATTATTTATATTTTTTATTGTATTCTTTTAAATTTCTTTTGGTTTTGGTAAAATTTTGATTAGAATTGTTAAGATTTAATTAGAGTTTATTTAAGATTATATTAGACTTGTTTGGACCTTGTTGTTGTAATTTCCCATTTAGCATCCATGCTAGGTTTCTAGTGCATTCTCAAATAAGAATTCATGTAAAACAACACCACATTCTTCCATTATTGATTTCTATTGTTAAAATTCAAGAAACAAAGACTTTGCATATCAATTAAAAATTGTGTTGTCAATTTGGAATTTAGAATCTAAATGTCTTAGATATACTTATTTTAAAAAATAATAGTTTTTCTAAAATTTAAAACTATAAATTATATTTGGCTTCAAAAGCTCATCATCATATATATTTATTGAGTGACTTTTACATCATCATTGCTTATTTATAAAGGAGTCTAATCATAACTTGTGGTGGCTTGTTTTTGAAAGAAATGCACTAAACCATAAATTACTACTCTTAGAATTTTTTCATCTTTAGTTTCTTTAATTTGTATTTTATTTTTATTTATTTATTCTTTTATTATGATTTTTTTACTATAATATATATATATATATATATATATATATATAGTATTTTTTTCATTATAAAAAATCACCTTCATCTAAAAAAATGTATGCTTTTGTACTTCAATCAAGGACATATTATTTTTATTTTTTAATATTAATCAATATATTTGCCATAAAATGTCTACTATTAGACTTCTATTATAAGTTCTATCTTGTGTTTTGCTTTCTTATTTTCTTGTTTTTTCTTAAAGATAAAAATAATATTAATCATGGTTTTAATTACAATTTCAAGTCTTCATTCAACAATGAAATCTATATCTTAGTATTTATACTTTATTTTATATTTTAGGGCACTTTAATAGAATTTCAATTTGAATTCTATAAAATTAACCTTTAAACTCATCTATATGTCATCTACTATGGACTTTCACTAAATCAATAATTATAAGAATTAATATTCAAATTTAAAATTTTCACTATCTAAAACTTTTATCATAATTCATCCAATAATAGTGATGAAATATAATTCACAATAACCATTGATATGCTTCTACATCTCTTAAAATCAATTAAGACTATACACATAAGATTCAATAAAGTTTTTTCCAAGTAGACCTTGGTTAAGTCTCTTTTAAATCAGTATACAAATAATATAAAAGAACTCTATCAACAATGAATAGGAAATACTAATTTTATATGTCTTTTAGGATGATCTTACTAGTGACTAATTTAGATTCATCTATGTTAGCCACCTTTTTTAAAACCAATACAAATACATATTGCAAGTTAAGAAAAAATTGGATTATTACAATGCAAATCCTACAAAAAAATCACAACTAGTGAATAATAATTAAGAATCAAAATTATAGAATACATTGCTTTAGTTTAAGATTCTTTAGATAGTCCTTAAAATAGCCAATTTATTTTTAAAAATTTAAAGATTAGGATGAAAAAAAATACATTTAAAGTTATCTATCCTTAATTAAAACACAACCAAAAAAATAGTTAGATTATTTTAAAGATTATATCGAAATTTATTCTTCATATTTTATTGTAGCAACCATTCAATAGACATAGCATATTACAAATTTGCATATAAGAAATCTTTTTATCATTATTTATTTTTAAGAATATCTAAAAATATAAATATATTTTAACTTTTTTATAAACATAAGAAATCTAAAAATTAATATATATATATATATATATATATATATATATATATATATATCAGAAAATATTAAAATAAAATAATTTAACATGGCTCTTATTATAAGATATAAAATTTTAAAAAATAATCATAGAGTAGTTTAATTCAAAAAGAACTATATATATATATATATATATATATATATATATATATATATATTAAAAATATTAACAAATAATTTTATTAGAATAAATATAACTAAAAATAATATGTTGAGTAGGTGGTGGATTGTGGTGGCAATAGCAAAAATTGTAGTGGTAATAGCATATCCTATAATAATATGAACTTATAAAATATTTGAATTAATGCAAGTTAGTATATTGAATCCATAAATACATGTCCTAAAATAATATTGTACTTTAAATTAAGTTTGCAATTACATTACTTCTAAAGAATTGAAACTTTAAAATATCAAGTTCACAATCTTGGATTACAACCAAAGCAACTTAATAGAATATTAGGTCTAATATAAATGCCAAGTAGAAGCTAGGCTATTAAAGACTAGCTTGGGATGGAACCAATTATTATTTTTATTTATATAAAATAGAAAATTATATATGTATATATATATATATATATATATATAAACTTATAACAACTTAAATGCACATATTTGACAATCTTTGGTT